GTTGACCAGGATGGTCTCGATCTCTTGACCTCGTGATCCATCCGCCTCGGCCTCCCAAAGTGCTGGGATTACAGGCGTGAGCCACCGCGCCCGGCTGCCAGGCACTATTCTAAGGAACATTGGAAGAGACAATCTTCCTGTTTTAAAGCTTACATTTTTGGTAATGGATCTGAATTACTAGGATTAATAAGAGATGCATTCTCTACCACCTGGCCTCTTCCACTTCAACAAGCTCTACATTTAAGCACCTTGAGGACAGATGTGAATACGTAATTGTTAAAAGACCAATAAATAAAATCAGAACTCAGCTACTTGGCCCATTGCTGCTTTAGACCCCAAGGATCTAATCTGTTCAGCTTGATAAAAAAAATAAACGATAGACTAATAATAGTTGTTTCTTTCTTAAAAGAGTAAAAAAGATGAAAAAGAAGAAATATTGAAGGCTTTCAAATTATTTGATTATGATGATACTGGAAGTATAATACTAACCAGTATCAAGTTGCTAAGGAACCAGGGGAAAATTTAACATGATGAACTTCAGGTAGATTTTGCTTATTTTTATAATTATAATTTATATGTAGTTATAATTTTTTTTTTGAGATGGAGTCTTGCTCTGTTGCTCAAGCTAGAGTGCAGTGGTGTGATCTGGGCTCACTGCAACTCCACCTCCCAGGTTCAAGTGATTTTCCTGCCTCAGCCTCCTGTGAAGCTGAGATTACAGGTGCCTACCACTGTGCCTGAATAGTTTTTGTATTTTTAGTAGAGATGGAGTTTCACCATCTTGGCCAGGCTGGTCTCGAACTCCCAGCCTCGTGATCCACCTGACTCCAGCTCCAAAGTGCTGGGATTACAGGTGTGAGCCACCACGCCTGGCCACAAATTACACTACAATTACTTTTGCACCAACCTAATAGCTTTACTGTTACTTCTTTGAAGATAACATGACTTTTTAAAGTTCTAGGTGATTCTGTAAGACTTGTCTATTTGTGTTGGTTATTAGCAACTTAACTATGATGTATCCAGATGTGGTTTTCTTTGTATTTTTATTCTACACAAGGTTTATTGAGTGTCTTGATTCTGTGGTTTGATGTCTTTTAGCAACTTTGGAACATTTTCAGAGCCAGCATTTCTTCAAATGTTGTTTCTGAATCGTCATATCCTCTCTATTTCTAAGATTCCAATTATCAGTGTTAGACTTTATCACTCTTTTTCACGTATATCTCACAGTCTTTTCCGTATTTTCCATCCCTTTGCCTCTCTGTGCTTCAAACTGAATATAGTTTATTTACTTGTTTTCCACTTTACTGGAAGTTCTCTGTTCTGCTACATCTAATAGATTCCAGGTTTTTGTTGAAATTATTGATATTTTCTTCTGTATTTTCTTTTGTTGTTGTTGTTTGTTTTCTTTTGAGACAGTCTTGCTCTGCTGCCCAGGCAGGAGTGCAGTGGTGTGATCTTGGCTCACTGCAACCTCTGCCTCCTGGGTTCAAGCCATTCTCGTGCCTCAGCCCTCTGAGCAGCTAAGATTACTGACATGCACCACCACGCCTGGCTAATTTTTGTATTTTCAGTAGAGACGGTTTTGCCATGTTGGCCAGGCAGGTCTCGAACTCCTGAGCTCAAGTGTTCCGCCTGTCTCGGCATCCCAAAGTGCTGGGATTTCAGGCTTCCTCTGTTTTATTAAACACATTAATGATCTTTACTTTCAAGTCCCTGTCTGATTACTTCAATATTTTCATTATCTTTAGGTCTATTATTATTATTACTATTATTATTATT